TATATATATATATTTCTCTCATTTAAGTTGTTTTTCTTTTAGAAGACACAGTTTTCACTGAGGATTTAATCTGGATCAGAATATAAAAACTAACCAACTACAGTTGAGCATCTCTCATTCGATTGTAACAGGGGAATACTCGACTGTAGTTGGTTCTTACATTCTGATCCGAATTAAACTCTTGGAACTCTAAAAACTAGGCCACAGTTGACACAAACATCATTCTATTTTTCTTGACATTCAATGAATAATAAAGATAGAACGACATTTATGTCGATTGTTTCCTGAAGAAAGGAAATAGCCTAGTAAGGATGTATTCCGATATACACAGTACTGAAAAATTGTGCTATTACCACGCAGCGCACTGCGACAGCGTCTAGTTCCCTCAATAACGTCATAAATGATAGTCATATTGCGATTTTCACCACTACTGCGATTTTCGAGGTGAGGTAGTTACAGTGCAATATGACTTAAAGAAACACAAATATTCGAAATATTCGAATATTCTAGGAAATAAAAAAATATATACATTATATTTAACTCCAGAAAAGCACATATATTCATTTTACTGAAAATGACTCTTAAATTCCATATCCGAATATTTACTGTGTGCATATAGGATGTGTTCCCATTTGCTGATTACAGTATCCAATAGCCGTCATGTTGTGTTACTGGGAGAAACGTTCTCTTTCTCTAAGTAAAAAGTTACAGTAAAAACATAACCTAAATTCGTACGCGCTTCGGAGAATTATTTTCTCGAGCATGTTATATATTTGTGAATTTTGCGAGAGATTTTAAGCAGAGAGGCTGTATTTTTTATTCGTTTTAGTTTTGTTATATTTTTTAATTAGTTGATGCTATTATTAATTGTTTTCATTGTTAGTGGCTGATTTCCTGTAAGTTGTAATTCCTAGAAGAGAAGTATACCAAACAGAATGGCAATGAATAATGACACATTGATTGCAATTGCTAACGATGTTTTATTTAAATTCGTCTGATAATAGTGATTCTGAAAGCGATATAGATGAATTGTTATTATTGAATATGAATCCAATAATTTGTGACAAAACGTTGCAACACAATATCTCTCAGCTTAATTGCAACATTCATAAATAAATAAACACGCCCCAGAAATCGGTTCTCCGAAGCGCGAATTTAGGTTATGTTTACTGTATTGGAAATCAGCAAATGAGAACATACTCATTTTTAACATGAGATCAAACTGTTTGAAATGGTAATCCCATAATTAATTCATCTTCTTCAGAAGAATTATTATGCTATTTTCGTTCAAAATTTATTGATTTACAATTTAATACATTTATTCATGTCTATTTACACTGCCAGTCTATTGTAAAGTCGTTCCGAAATACGACGTTACAGTAGTGCTGGCGTACCACAATAATTTTGGAATGGCTGCGGCAGTGTACTATTGTGACGTCATAGTTGCACTGCCAGTAAAAAGGAAACACAGCTTAAGGATCGGTTGTTCTACTTTTTGAAATTTTAAATTTTACCTTGGGTAAGTAGCAAGATTACCCAATCACATACGCAGATTGCCAGATTTACCTTATAGGTAAAATTTACCAAACGGTGGAACAACTGGGCCTAAAACACTTTTAGGACATTTTTAAGCAACGCGATAGATCTATTGTTATTTTTTATGCCATTTTTACGATAAATACGTTTTACATACACACACGCACACACACACACACCCCACACACACACACATCCCACACACACACACACACACCACGCACACACACACGCCACACACCACGCACACACACACACACACGTCACACACACTTATTTATATATAGTTTTCAACTTTGCATCCATTTGATGTAGAATAATTAATAATAAAAATCTTACAGAAGTATAGTTCGTGGAGTTGCAATTAATATATAAAAACATAATGAGGTCGGAAATGACAAAAAAATCAACCAATATTCGACATCGATCATCCATCGGTATCGAATCTATTTCTGCATCCAGAATGTTATCAGATATATGTCTTAGCTTGCTGACGAAACACCTGGAAGAGCGTGAAATCGATTAGTTAAAAATCGCACTCTAATTGCTTTGGAGTATTCATTGACCAGTATCTTGACTAAAACATTTGGAGTAAGCAAACTGTTATTAACAGTTATTCAAAGTTAACTAGAATTAAATATTAGTTAATCAACAAGTTTTTTGACATCATGGTCCTGATGCCAAAAGAGTCTGCGAAGCTAGTCGCCGGCTTGGCGAAGGATGTATTCATCGAGCAAGCAGGTGTAAAAAAATTGGCATTGGCGATCCTTGATGGTTTAAAGACGGGTAAGATCCGCAAGGGCAATTTCTCGCAAATCAGATTTCATCCTAAGCCCGACGATTCCAGGGCAGCGGACTGGATATTCGTGCTGGACACGTTGAACTTCTCATTTTGGACTGAGACGGGTACGAAAAAGTGGAATGTCAATGGAGAGACCGGCTACTTTGCGTTCTGTGCCGCTGTCAGCCGAGCCATTGATGAAGGGAAATCTATGTGGGATCCCAAGTATTATTCGCAGATAACGCAACAAGATGCAGACATCATTTTTCGAGGTGACAACGAAGTCAAAATTCCACTTATACACGATAGAATTAAGGGTCTGCATGAGGCTGGAAAGATTCTGTTGGACAAGTATAAAGGCACGTTTGTGGAATGTATCAAGTCGTGTAAAGGCTCCGCGGAAAAGCTGCTCCAACTTATTGTTAAGGAATTTGAGTCATACCGAGATGAGGCTTATTACGAAGGGCATAGGATCAGCATTTACAAGAGGGCTCAGATATTGATCGGTGACATCTGGGCCTGCTTTGAGGGACGCGGACTTGGCGAATTCCATGATATCGACAGCATCGCAATGTTCGCCGATTACCGTATTCCTCAAGTGCTTGTACATTATGGCACTATGCGCTACAGTGATTCGCTCATGAGCAAATTGAAATCCGATGAACAGTTGAAACAGAACAGCAGAGAGGAGATTGAGATACGTGCCTGCTCAATCGAGGCGGTCGAGCAGGTGCGCAACGAGGTGCGAAGATTGATCGCTACTGAGTCGAAATTGAACCTGAATCCGTCAACGGATGTCAACGCGATCATGATCGATCATTACCTGTGGGACTATCGGCGAGAGTATGCGCAAGAATTGGAGCACATACCATTCCACAAAACAAGAACCATTTACTATTAGTTACTAGAGGATTGCGCAAGATGCAAAAACATTGCCTAAATGAAAAAATTAGGAAGTTCCATATATCAAATTCCAAAGAAAATCTAATTACATCTGTTCCTTCAATATTCAGCTATATTTTATTATATTTTGTATTGTATTACGTATAAAATAAAATACGAGAGAAAATGGAATAAAGTTTATTACATGTTTCAGGATAAGTTCTTTCAACATTATATACAAAAACTAATTAGATAATTATTGATAAAATATTAAAATATCACATATTGCGATGTGATGTTATATAAGAAAGATAAGAATATAAGACAATTTACTATGTGACAATAATATGTTTAATAAAGATATTTATATAAATTATATTTTTCAAATATTGTTACAAGATAAATAAGTTATTTAATTACCAAACAAGTAAACTGTTTTATTAAACTGTTTTCTGTTTTTTTTTTGTTATAACAGGAATAAAAATTATTAAATTGCAAAGTATATATACTGTAATCTTACTTTATCATAATTTTATTATGGAAGTATTAGGACTTAGCAGAAAAATACATTGTTCATGTCTACAGTTTCTTATATTATTTGTATAATTGTTATTTTTGAAAAATCAATTTTTTGAAATGATTAATACAGTTTAATTGCATACATTGAGAAATAAAGATAATAAAAATCTATATGTACATTTTAACATGACCAAATGGATTGTATCTCTTACATTTGTATGATATTACAGATACAAAAACAAAAAAATATAGAAATTTACATTTCTATTATCTAGATATAAGAATTGATGGAATGAGATTATATAGATTATATAAAAAAATACTAATTAAAAATGATTTAATTCGCAATATGCATCATATAGATCAGAAATTTCTTTCAAATATTAGCAATCATTTCGTACATGTATATGGCTATTTATTAAGTTTATAATAGATTTCATTAAATTAAACAGAATTTCAGTTTTGTTCTTCTAATTCTAGTTTCACATGTAGATGAAATTAAACCTGAAATACAAAAATAGATACAATTTTGTAATACGTTGCGTCTACATCATCAAAATGTGTCACGCAAAAAGTAGATTTTTTTAAACACATACCTGCACAGAGATTGTGGTAGAGATGAAATTATAGGGCCATAGCCTTGTGAATTATCGTATAATTCAAATAAAGGTGCAGCGACTAACTTATAATTTTTCGGTACAGCAAAGAGAGCTAAATATAAAAATAACAAGAGAGTAAATATATTTATGAGATTGAATACATGTCAAACTTTCGATTTGTCGTTATACCTTTCTCTTGCAACTGTACGAGAAATAGTCTCTTGTGTTCTTTCGGTTTTGTAATGTGTGGCGGCACGTATGGATATTGAGGTGGTTCAAAGTTCGGACGCCACCAGTTTCCAATTGTATCTTCTATAACCCATTCTTGCTTCACTCCGTCCTGCCGTCCAAAGGTCTAGAAAGCGATTCCATTTGCTGTTTAATATTATACTATATTGAGTCTCAAATAAACTATGATGAGAATAAAATACATTCTTCTCTTTTGTCAGTCTACTAAGAACATGGTTGCACAATATTTATTATATTTTGAGACATTTGCGGCGATCACCTAATAGCATCAATTCTAACAATATTCAGGTTTATCGACGATTGACATGTAGCTATAAGTCTCTTTAGAATAAAAAAAAAACTGATATAGATATTCAAGAACACATGTACAATTTCTTTCACCTATAATATCAATGTAGTGTTCATATGAATATCTAATTAAGTAAAATCGTTATATAAGCTAATAGTTTTAGTAAAGAATATAACAGAGATCATATAAATCTCAAGTTTATTAATTGTCTTGTGATCTGACAATTGCGAATGAATTCGTAGGCCTACTATTATGCCGATCAGATAATTTTCTCTTACAATAAAATTCTAAACTCTATTCGGTATATAATCGGTTTTCTGAGCTTAAATTTAAAAAATTCGCGATATTTATATACATTCTTCTTGTCACTATTTTACATTCTTGCATTTTATCTTGTCTCTTCTGTATTTCTCTCTGTGCTAACATATATACTATCGAAATAAGAACAATGTTCTTAGCCAACCAGATACAATAACGTGCGATATCTTTCAACATCGAAGTGTCCGGGCATGCAGCACGCCAAAAGTACAAAATATTATAAGAATAAAAGAACAAGCCCCTATGTGGAGCTACAGGCCCGGTTACATGAGTTCTACAAACGTTTGCAGGGTTTATACAATAATCATGATGTTTATAGAGACAATGTTACAATCTAACGATATAAAAGTGCCACTCCTAGCCAGCCTGTAAGGCAGCGTAAGGCGTCGTGTTAACTGTTACCTCTGTAAGGAGCCGTTTTAGGCCCTCTACCTCATCTTCTCCTGTATTGAGTTCTCCGCCAGGTCTGGAATAATGGAAAAAGAAAGGAAATGTACAAAATTCAGTTATTAAAATGAATAATTTTTTTAAATACGTAATTTATAAATTCTCGAAACTTACAATTTGAAGAATGTTGTGCCAAGTTGCAGAAGAAGAACGTGTGGAAGTCCATGCTCATGTACCAATAAGACACCTTCTACGCTTCTCCGCATGCCGATCTTGTCGAATTCATCTCTCATGCGCTGAAACCTTGCTGGTACTGATGGATCTTTCTCGAAGAGTGGCTCTTTTGTTCCAAATGTATAGTTTGTCAAAGGATATCTATGATAAATGAGTTGTATTCTTTTGTTAGGCTCCTGTATATGTTTAACTAATCCATCAGTAATTAAATCCAGTTTCTTCAAATACAGCTTGATGCGATATTACAATATTTAATTACAGAAACTACATAAATATGCACAGTGTAACAATTTAAATTTTCTCGCTATTTTCATATTTCAATATTAGCAGTATTTGTTTTTTTTTTTAATTTAAGCAATAATATATGTATAAATAGAATGGTCCTTATTTTTCGATTTTTCGAATTTTTTTCTACCTCATTCCTTAGAATAATTCTACAATCTACAAAAAAATAATTTCCATAAAATTTTAGCTTGGTCGGATATTAGCAATCTATGCCTCCGGCTCGCTAACATTTGAGTTTTGTCATACTATGTTACCAACATTGATTTTTATAGCATATTTTTCACAAAATCGGCCTATAGAGCTTTTCTTTTTTTTTAATATATCAAATCGCATATATTAAAAAAAATCTTGCTTTTCTACATCATTTAAGACTCCATGTGTTCCATTTAGAGCTGATGAACTTTAATTAACAATTAATCGTTAAGCGAAATGACAAATGCGATTGGTCAATTTTAATGGATTAATCATTAATTAAAGTTAATTGAAGTTGGTCGAAATGACCCTTAAATAATTGGGTTAATGTCTGAAAAATGAGAAAAGGAGTTATTGCATTGTTTGCTTATTTAAGTTAGAAAAAATTGATTCATGAGCTAAAAAAGTGTTGGTAGTATATTTGAGGGCGAAATTAGTTTAAAATATGATAAATTTCATATTTTTATTAATAAAGCAATTTTTTTATATTTTATATTATATAATAATTAATAATTATATTATAATCGTAGTTATTAGTCATTGGCCACCTTGAATAATTTCAAGCTAAAAAAAATCTGTGAAACTTTAGTTCAATTCAATAAAAGAAAATCGTGTTCGTAGTTGTTTTGAATTTTATAAATTGTTAAAAATCACTCATTAAGAAATCCATTACACTCTTGTCATTATTTCATACGTTTCTTTTTTAACAAGGTAAGATTCTCTCTTAGATCTATGTTCAGATCTTCACTCAAGATATACCTTTCAGATATTATTAAATTTTGTTAAACAGTGAATAAGGATAAAATGATACCTAGCATTGACATAAGAATCTAAACACAGCCTTCGGAAAGGATTTCACACGTTTTTTAGTTAATAAGGTAAGATTCCTCTAGGAGGGAATCCCCTGGAAGAGGATCTTACATTGAATAAAAAACTTGTGGAATTCCTTTCGAGGATCATGTTCAGATTTCCAAGTGTCATTCAGTACTCTATAATTCTTAACAACAGTGTTGGTATCGTTATACTGTCATAGATATTAATATAAATCTATGAGAATAATAAATAAAATATAGTAAAAAGTTGTGTAGCGACAATATGTCGATATCGAACTGTCGTTAGAAGTTACAGAATCGGTAGATGTTATTTTATTCTTGTTGTTCACTGAATGTTAAACACATAAAATGATATTTGGGAGGCACTTAAATGGAAATCTGAACATAATCCTAGGAAAGGTTCATATACATGATTGAATTGAACTAAAGTTTCACAGATTTTTTTTTTAGTAACTTGGAATTATTCAAGATAGTACCAATGACTAATAATTACGATTATTAATTATTATGTAATATAAAATGTAAAAAATCGCTTTATTAATAAAAATATGGAATTCATCATGTTTTAAACTAATTTTGCCCTCAAACATATTATCAACGCTTTTTTAGCCCACGGGTAAACTTTTTTTGATTTAAATAAGCAAAAAATGTAAATATTTTTTTCATTTTTCAGACATTAACAATTCACCTAATTTTTTAAATAAGATATAGTTGAGATCTCAAACGATGTAGAAAAGTAAGACACACACGCGCGCAAGCACGCACGTATTATAAAAGATATATACAGGATGTCCCGTAAGTTTTTGACAACCGCTTTTGTGTAAATAGAGCGCACTAAACTGAGTCGAAGAGTCTTCTACCATTTCGCAATTTTCGCGATGATTAATGAGATATTAATTACTAAAAGTTATTAAATATTGGTTTTTAATCATTTTTTTACTCAAATACTATCAATTTTACAGAAAACTGCAAGAAACAAAAAATCATTTATTTTTTTCTCAGAAATTTTTTCAGAATTTTTTATTAACTTTCAGTACTACATTTTCTTATTTTTATCAACATGAGAAAATACGGTATTAAAAAATTCTGAAAAAACTTCTCAGAACTTTATGAGAAGAAAATAAACAATTTTTGTCTCTCACTGTTTTTTTTTGTAAAGTTGATAGTATTTGAATAAAAAATTATTAAAAAATATTTAGCGACTTTTAGTAATTAATATTTCGTTAACTATTGCGAAAATTGCAAAATGGTAGAAAACTTTTCGATTCAGTTTAGTTCACACAAAAGTGTTCGGCAAAAACTTATGGGACA